CCTGTTCATATTTAGAAATAGATGTACGAATATAATCGATCAATTCACCAGACAAATAAAGGATGGCTATTATATTTGTCTCTCTTACTTCCATCTAATTCCATATCCTCATGGCCTCCACTGATTACCGGGTATCCTATTGTCGTTTCATACGAGTTCAACATTCTCGTGCAATTTTTTTTATTATTTACGCGCCGTTGACTTCACGCCATTAAAATACACGGCACAGGCCAACAGCACAGCAGAACCCATTTTATATGCAAAAGTTGTATGTCGAGCAACAGCTACAGCGTGACACTGTTCCAGGCTGCCTCATTGGGTGGCGACTAGAGTCGAGGGTCGGTCTTTGTTTAGAGGCGACTACTAATGCCAATGCAGGCGGCGGCGTCTTGAGACAGAGAGGAAGGGAAATAGAGAGAGAGACACTGAGAAGAAATGGTTAGACCCACGAGTCAAGTGCTCGACTAATGCATCTGCAGAGCAGAGCAGAAAAGAGCACAGCCAAAGGCATCCATCGTTAGCTTTTTGACATTTATATGAGTTTCTGGCTTGGCCTTAGCCATTTTCGGCTTTGATTGCAATTCGCAGTTTTTGTGGCAAGGAAAATTGTCATAAATTACTTTGCATGGCTTGTGCGGGTGTGTATGTGTGTGTGTGTGTATCTGAAAATCGTAAATCAAATTCCAAAGAAAGACAGAGAGAGAGAGAGGGAGAGGGAAGGCCAGAGCGAGCACAACGTCTTTGCCACACTGCGTATGTGTGATATTTCATAAAGCGTGTCATGAATTCTAATTACCTTTTTGGTCCAACGAGCAATTGCCATTTCTTCGTTTCGGCTTTCATAAATTTCATTTTTAAATTGCTTTTCAAACTTTTTTGTGCATAGAAAAGCATTGCAGAGCATCAAATAATAACAATTGTGTAAAAAATTAGCAGATAATTTGAATAATTAAATTTCAACGGAATTCATAACTAACATGATAGCCATGTAAATTTAATGCCAAATATATACTCGTAGTGTTCACAAATATACAGTAATAAAAAATAATAATAATAATAGTAATAGTAATTTTCCTCTTTTATTGAATATTTAAACGCTTCCTTTGTTGCAATGTTGCTGCTCTTTGGCCATGGATAGTAGATGGTTTCGGGGCACGGTACTGGGACTGCCATTCATTCGGGCTGCGATTCATTTATGCATTTCCATGTTAACGTCATAATCTGCGTTATGCAGTTTAGCGTATCAATTACCGCATCGCAGCAAAAAACTGGCATGTAAAAAAAATATATGTATTTATGGTGGTACATGGCATCCAGCGAAAGAGATGACGAGATAGCCACACACACACACGGACAGACAGACAGACAGACAGACAGACAAAGAGTCGGAGAGTGTGGGAGATGCACTTCAGTCGAGGGTCTCGACTATGGAATACCAGTTAGCCGATTACTCTCCAATGAAGTGGTCTGCTTTCAGATGCTTTTGATCAAGTCAATAACTGGAATCTATTTTTACTTGGAAAAAGGTTTAAACTCTTAAGAATTTCGTTGAATATAAAAAGCATGAAAGGGTATCCTTAGGATTCTTATTATTAAGATGTCTCGGCTGTTTTTTTATCTAGAGCTATATTTGGATCGTTCCTTGGAATCTAGAGCTTAAACTTGTATCTTTCAAAATCTTCAGATTCAGCCACTCTGTGAGCCAACTACTCTCCCCGTTACGTACCGCCATTGCCATCCTTTACTTTCGCCCCACAAAAAATGCTGCAAATCGTTGGATGAAAATAAATTTTACAATTTTTCCCAAACAAAAATAGGAATTTCTTTTGCAGCAATGAATAAAAAATGCAAATCTGCCAAATCAAAAATTGATTTGAATTGCAATGCGGTAAGTACAATTGAACGTTCAACGTAGAGCGTTGGGGGGGCGAGGGGCGAAAGGCGAATGGGTGAATAATTCAAAGTGGGCAATGGTCATGGCCATGATGACATGAAAAATTCATTAAACGCGTCCTAGCCACAAAAAGGGCCAGCCACAATGGGTGCGGCGGTGGTGCACTGTGGATGTGCCCGTAAATTGCAAAACGAGGCATTGATGAATGGCACTGAGCAAATCGCAGTGGAATTAGAAATCTCGAATTGCCAAAAAATACTCCTGCCATTCGACCCAACCGTATTCGACTGTTGATATTTTCCCTAAAATTCTAGAGAAATCCCGGCGACGAGCATTCATTAACAGTCTGCGGTTGTGCCACAGACGAGTGCAGCAGCATGCCACATGAAGTCGCACAAATATTTGCACCGCTTGTCGTTCGCTCCACGGCCGGCGGGGGCTTAGTTAATAAATTAGTAAAAATTGTTGCTAGTGACAATGTTGTTGGTCGAACTCTTGTCACGCGACAGGCGCGACAATGGCTATGATAATAGAATTTTTGCCGCATTTTTGGACATGAGCGACAGCTGCAATAACAATAATAATAATAACAGCAGCAGCAGCAAAGGCAACAGCAACATCTGCATCAGCATCAAGAAAAACTAAAAACATGAACAAAAATATGATTATCAAGACCAACATTTCGAATACCCTTACACGAATTATTGATTTTTTTTGTCCTGTTCCTCAGGAATATATAAATATATACACAGTACTATGCATATGTATAGTTGGCAATCTTCTTTAGGAAATCAGGGTACCCTCTGCAGAAGGGTATATCATGTTAGACAAGCACCGACATGGGCAAAGTGTTTGTAAAATATGCCAAAAACTCGAATTGCCTGGTTGTTGGGTTGCTGGGTTGCTGGGCGCCCACATGGATCCATCGTGCCTCTCCAAATGCCATTACACCGCCCCAACCAACCTGTGGGAGGATTCTAAATATTTTCCAACAAGCACAACCCCAATGCAGGTCCACACATCGCGATGTGTACGTCTGTATAACATATATGGGACCCAATATGAAGCATGTTTGTAGACCGGGGACCGGCCGATGCGATGCGATGCGATGCGACGCACGCCATTGTTGAGGCCGCCGTCGCTTTTGACGTTGCAATAAATTTCCACGTTTATTTATTATTGCGCCGCACGTCACTGATAATTAAAAATAAATCAATTTTTAATGGCCGCCCGCTTCCTCGCTCGAAACGTAGGCTCATAACGCGGTTCTTTTGGATGAGTGGTCATGTTACCGGCGCGGCGCGGCGCGGCTCGGCGTGTGGGTTTCGGTTTTTGGCACAAAAGCAATTAGCACACGTTTAGAATGGGGAAAAGTTTAATAAGGTTTTGCCGAAAGGTAAATCAATGCATGTGCTATAGGGATTTGGTGGAATGCGAGGCACGTAAAGTGCTGCTGAAGGTTGCTGTTGCTACGTGAAAAGCGGCTGGCAGACACGCTTTTAAGCAAATCAGTTTATGTTTCCGAGACAATACTTCATCAGTCAGTGCCTTATGCACACACACATGACGTGCCCCAAATGGCCAACAATAAGCCTCAACTTGGCTAAGCACAATGCAGGAGTAAGAGTGAAAAAAAAACATAGACAAAATTGTGCGAAGCAGAAAAATGTTTATGCGTCACGTTGTTGCAATCATTAGACGGAGGAGCGACAGAGCGGCATAGCGCAGAGAGTGTGTGTTTGGAATCAGCAAACGCCAGGCATCAATATGCCCGACAATTGTCTTGGCCAATTGTCTCACAATCTCTCTACGTGGCAGAGACAGCTCCCTGGTTGCCACTTTTCGGATGGAAAGATGGGCAGGAGGGTAGGATGGTAGGATAGCAGGCTGGCTAGATGGAATGGCTGGAATGGTTGGTGTGTAATGAACTCTGTCATAGCTTGATTGAAGGTCATCCTTCTGCCGCTTTAATTATGCAGTGAACTCTTTGCCGTTTATTTGAATGTCTGCACTCTTTTATGGGCATCACCCACCACACATGCCGTAAATCTAATAACATAAGCTCGACACGCAGTCAGAGATGGAGACAGGGGGCTCGGGTTCTCTCTCTCTCTCTTGTTATTTATATGCATGCATAAATATCTGGGACGAAGTCCTGACCACAGTTGACTTGGTAACCGCAGAAAATGGCATAAAAGTCAACATGTTGAAACAGCAGCTGTAGGAGAAATATATAGCTCACAGATATTATGCGTGTGTGCCTCTGCTCTGTTGTGCTGTATGAGACTTTTCATATCTGACTTCGAGGCTATAAAGTATAAATTACGGCAAATGTGTTACGCAGCGGCAACATCGCAAAGCAACAGACCCTGAGCCCGAGCCCGAGCCAGAGCCAGAGCCATGGCACGCACAACTAACTAACAACTATTAAGCCTCTGGTTGTGCCACACTGTGCTCCTATCTCTGACTCTGGCTCCGACTTCATCTCCGTGTGAAATACAGCCCAAAGACAGAGGACGCGGCACAGTAATCAACATGCGTGGCACTGAGCACATTTTACACATGCGCTATGCCATTTTTCCGGTGATTAAGTGTTGATAAGTCTATAAATTAACTCGAACACACGCCAGACAATGGCCACCAGTCCACCAGTGCTGCCTGTGGCATGGGGCATGGGGTGCCAGTGTCCGTGCCCATGCCCCCATGTGGCATGTGGAGCATACTACACGTATTGGTGTTATGTATATGCCGAAGGCATACATTTACGTATATTAATCATTCTGCAAAGACACCAACCACCAACCATGGGGCAGAGGCAGAGCTAAGACGACGGTCAAATGCGAAAAACTGTTGCCTACTTAATGGCGAAATTAAAGTGGTTATGTTATTAGAAATTCAAGGAACTGCATAGGCACAAATTTGTCTCAACAACAGTGCGCAATAGAATGCGTGGGAAGAGTTACACATTTGTCATCCAAATGTCATCCAAGAGGAAAGGTTATTCATGCAGCGTACCTCCCACTTTTGTGGTATAAATATTAACTCGCAGTTCTGGCATAGGCCCAGTCGAAATCTAGTCACATACGCGTAACATCGAAGCACAAAAATGTTGAACCTTTTGAAAGAGCCACCTCCGGGGAATCTTATGTCCTCGCCAGAGGCATTCAAGTACATGAAGTACACCATGATCTTGATGGGATGGATACCCCCACAAGGAGGATGGACAGCCTCCAGTATAATAATGTCGACTTTCATAGTAGCTATCTCCGTTGTCTATGTGCCAATTGGAGTCTTCATCACTTTTTTCGTGGAGTTGAAAACCCTTTCACCAAGTGAAGCTTTGTCCGTGCTCCAGGTCGCACTCAATGCCATGGGATTTCCTTTGAAGTTGCTCTTCTTCAGACTCTATATGTGGCGCTTCTACAAAATCGAGAAGCTCCTTGGCCGCATGGACGAGCGTTGCATCGACAGCACAGAGCGCAGCGAAGTGCATCGCTGGGTGGCACGGTGCAACATCGCATATCTCATCTACCAGTTTATATACATCTCCTACACCATATCGACATTTCTTACGGCAACCTACTCGGGGGTGGTGCCATGGAATATCTACAATCCATTCATTGACTGGCGCGAGAGCACGCGGAACCTTTGGATTGATTCGGTGCTGGAATTAATGTTCATAATTGGCATAGTTATCCAAACCTATATGATAGATGTGTTCCCCCTTCTGTACGGTCTGATTTTACGGGCCCACATTAAGCTCCTCAGGCAGAGAGTCGAGAAACTTTGCTTGGATCCCAGTCAGACTGATGATGAAAACAATGAGGAGCTCGAGAATTGCATCGAGGACCACAAACTTATTCTGGAGTAAAAATATAAGGGTAAACTAATTGAATTTGTGAGTGATTTTTTTGTATTTTCGCATAGATACGCCTCTGTCATACGTCCTGTTATCGAACCTGCCATCCTTGTGCAATTCATGCTGGTCGGCTTGGTCCTGGGGATATCCCTGATCAATCTTTACTTATTTGCTGACACTTGGGCAAAACTGGCTATAGCCGCGTACATAGTCGTTCAGATTGTTCAGACATTTCCCTTCTGCTACACCTGCGACCTCATCAGGGAGGACTGTGAGTCCTTGGCCGTGGCCATATTTCACTCCAACTGGAAGGGCTCGAGTCGCAGATATAGATCCTCGTTGATTTACTTCCTGCAGAATGCCCAAAGGACGATCTCCTTCAGCGCCGGATCTGTATTTCCCATATGCTTGAACACCAACATCAGGGTAAGAAAATTGAGATACCTATCGACCTAAAGACTGTCAATTTCCTGTGCAGGTTGCCAAGCTGGCCTTTTCTGTGGTTACATTTGTGAAGCATTTGGGATTGGGATCGAGATAAACAAGTACAGAATTAGGCCTATTTTGATTATATTTTTGATTGTCACCTAATTACTATGTTATATCAAATATCTGCAATAAATATAAATATGTTTTTTCCCCCCTAAAAATCCATGAAATGCTCGTCTTTAGATATCACTTTATTATTCTGCAATTTTCGGTACAACGCCATCGGACCACATTCTCTTCGAGCTATGGTTATCCTCGAGCTATGTTAATTATATAGAATGTAACTAAAGGTCAGGAAGATGGGAATTGCGAGTTGGCAAACGTATTGCAAGTAATTATTGAATCAAGCATTCAGTCAACAAAAGGCGCAAAGTTGCACAACCAATGGTCGTCCCTATAATCGATTATTGTGCGTCTAATGCGTGGGAAGAGTTACACATTTCTCATCGGCATGCACTCAACAAAAAGTTCCACTTTGCAACGAAACACAAAGGATTCTGGCAGTAGAGGGCAACCTCCTACTTTTCTCAGTGCAAAAGGAAATGGTATAAGTACAGAAGTCTTGATTTTCAATTGCAGTTGTGAAATTAGCCCAAAGCAAAGTGCATTCCCCTTGAGTCTCAGACACAAATCAACGCTGTTTTACTTCCAGTAGTTCTGGTCATTATTGGAGATGGCAACATCTCCATGAACGCAAAAGAATCAGTGTAAGGATATTGCAGGCAATCCCAAAGCATCCATAGCCAATAATTAATTTATTTTCATGCCGCCACTGAGGTCAACTTTATGAAGCAAATTAACATATACACGAAACGCCAAAGGAGCATAGGAGTAAGTGGCAGGAAAATGACTCAAATATGAAATGGTATACACCTCACATCCTCACACACACAAAATACTGTACGATGGCATAATTCTGTGGGCCGGAGTCCCCACCACTTTCAATTTTTGGCTTCAATTTCTTCGTTTTGTGTGTGTTTCCTGTTAAGAAATACAATTATGCAAACAATCGGGTGGTGGAAACGACAAAGTCAATTAAAATACGAGCAAATTAATTGCTTAAAATACGCATAGAATTGATTTACAAATTCGGCAAGACAGCGCAAACAAGAAATCAGTTTTAATTGCGGTTAAGCCAGGAGCAAAGACTCCTGGCGTCTGGCGTCTGGCTCTCCGTTTCTCCACTTTCCACTTTCCCGTTTCCTGGAAAACCCCAAAGTTCAAAGTCTAGCCGCTGGCGCAAATGTGCTTTGCCTGTCTTTGATGTGGAGCGACGGCTACAAATATCCAACTGCTGGAAGGACCTGCTGGTGGCACAGCGAGCGGCAGCGGCAGCGGCATCAGCAAGGATGCTGGTAGAACCAACATTTACATAAACTGAAATCAAACTGGAAATAGAGGCCACCACGAATGGAAAGCAAGAGCACTCATATTTAATGTAAACGCAGCGAAAAGCCTGCGGAAAATTAATTTGCATTTTTCCCAACCAACCAAAACAACAACCGCCAGAGCCACAGCCACAGCCAGCAACCGGCAGCAGGCAGCCGACAACAACTGGCATACATTTGCAATCGAGTTGGTACATAGTTTTCCAAAAACACAAGTTTTCACTTGCCCAAATTCGCTGGGGAAATGCGGGAAACTCTTACCTCACATTGGGAGGAGGTGGCACCGACACCTCACATTTCCCCCGGGCCAAGAACACACACAGCCGATGTCTCCATTCCAGCAAAGAGAAGTCCACGAGGAGCAGAAGGACGAACTGTAGACGCGGCACGCGTAGACGCATTAAATCAAATTAAAAGCCCCGCTAAAAGAAGTGACAAAACCCCAGGTAAATCCCATTTTAAATACAAATAGCATGCGTATACGCCCTGGGGGCCAGAGGGAGAGACTCGGAGTCGGAGCCCGAGTCGGAGTAGTCGTCTCTGAGTGGTTCTGTGGCACACATTTTTCCAGGAGGCTTAACGGTGCGGCGTCTGTAATCTTAGTTTAAGTTGATTGTACGACATCCGAATAGAGGATGGAGGATGGAGGATGGCGGATAGAGGATAGAGGAAAACGCTGTAGCCAAACACGATCCACAGTAAAATGCTTTAAATAAAAATTTGTGGGCCAGGGCTTTAGAGCCGGGGAAAATGGGTTTATTTGTTTGTTTGCCGGAGTCTAAGGGTTTGTCTGGCGCAACACTTTGGGGTCTGGCAACACGGGGACTAAGACACTCGCCTGCCTCAGTGTTTCTGGTTCGGGAATTGCTTTTAGCGTAATTGCAAGTGTATTCCCCAAAGGTGGCTCGAAGAGCGACTCCGCCTTTAGGCCCGAGCAGCGCACGGAGCCGGCGGCATTGTGTTTCGGCCATATTTGCACGGTGCCGCATTTCAATTAACCCGTGAACCTCTGTACCCATGGCCCCAGGTCTTTGTTTCGTTAGTTTTTATTAGTTTTTAACCTTTCGGCTTTTCACAATGCAAGTGTGTGCTTGCCTGCCTGCTTGCCTGCCTGCTTGCCTGCCTGCTGGCCTGCCTGACTGGCTGCCGTTCAACGCAGCTCAATCAATCAGTCAGGCGATCAATCAAAAAATTCAATCTCCATCAATTGCAGGTCCGCAAACAGAGAAGGCAGCGGGCCAGCCACAGGAAAAAATAACAGCTCAGGGACTCATTCATTAACTGGAAAACGATTCTGGCCAAAGCCGAAAATTGCAAATCGACAAAACCCAAGCTAAAGCCAAAGCCAAAGGCTCCGAGCACTTCACTTGACTATTCAGCCAAAAAACAGTTTTGCCCTCTGTGTACTTTACGATGGCCGATGCATTGGGCCAAAACCAGAACCCTCCACACGCCCTTTGCTTCCGTCCTGGACTATGTTTTTTGTAGCATATGATACGAATTTACATGTGTCCAGTACACTGGAGAAAAATGCATACATTCCTGCTATAGCCATTCCAAGTAGGTCTTGGAGAGTCTTTAAGATTCATTTATGTGTTAATTGACAAAAATTGTAGCCAAAGATGAATCCTAAAGTACAAGTAATGGTCGTAGACAGAGCAACAAGGCCTTCAGGCTGGGTCTTTAAGATTATAACATTGAAATGATTTCGATTTGAGGGCAAAGACAGAATGGGTACGAAAAACTTGGCAACTGGTGTGCCAACTCATTGAAATGGTTGCAAAATATATCTCCTATGAGGCAGTGATGGGGTTGGTGGGCAGAACGAGGCACAGGAGCGCCTCACCGAGACGCCACGAATGCTTGAATCAATTATGGTGTTCCCCCTATCCAATAAGAAAAGGGGTTTGGTGTCGTCGACCTCATCTCCGTTCATCTCCGCCGATTGCGGATCTCCGTCAAGAAATCTAAAGTCAGATCTTTCCCTCAGTGTACATATCTGTGTTATTATGTGTGGAAGTGTGAGTATGTGTGAAATTGTGTGGCTTGTAAAAATCACTTTTTTAAAGCATTCGGCCTTTGCGACAGATACACGCATTGAAGCGTGGGCACTTTTGCGTTTTGCCAACGAGGAGCACAGGACGAGAAGGAGGATGAGGATGAGGAGCAGGATGAGGACCATTCCATGCTGCAGGATGCCACACGATTGAAGGCAGCCAACAGCCAGCCAGCATACTTGTATTTATTTTATTCCAGCTCGTTCTGGCAGTGCATAAAACTGTTTTTAACATGGTTCTTCTGTTGGTTGTTTTTTTCGTATCGTTTCGTTTCGTTCGGGAGGAGCGGAGCGGAGCACAGCACAGCCCTTTTTATGCCAAATGTAAGCGATCTGCACGGAACTGACACAAATATGGGACTCTGCCAAAGAGATGGGGTTGGGGTTGAGGATGGTGTGGCATGAAAGCCGAGTGTTGGACAAGCAGATTTAAACCGTTACGGTTTACCTGCCACTATACAACACACGCACCCCGTGCCACCTACATCTACCCCATGGATGCATACAAGTTAACGTACCCAATTCCATTGAGCTCTTATACGAGTTGTAAACAATCTTTGGTTTTCCAAAACGAAAACAATTTCAATCTTGGGCCTCCGCCTAATTGATTTCTAAGATGTACAATCTCAAGCGCCCCCGCCGCAATCCCATTCTTTGACACTCGCCTAAATGGAAAACCAATGTTTGCCCACACCCGGCTTCTCATAAACAATCTCACTCCCGGCTTTCTGCAGATCCTGCACTTTAGGCCTTTTACAGTTCTCTCTTTGGATGACGAAATCTAATACTCGGGATGGCGAAATCAATTGAAATGTTTATAGAAAAACGATTCCCGAAAGGGATCAACGATGCAAAGATCAGAAAGTTCAAAGCAGTCTTGATCCAGCAGCGACACCGCAAAGTCTAGCTAAATATTAAGATCGCGCAATCCCTTGGCCCGGAATTCCTTTGTGACCCTCTACTTAAATCTATATCAGTGAAGTTCGAAGTAAAATAAAAACTTTTTAAAAACACAATCCGCTACCGCAGTTGTTTAATTGGCGCCCAACGTGGGGCGACGTTGTCTAAAAAGCACCGAATGATAAAAGTGTTGCGTCGTGCCGAAACCCGAAGGACAATTAATTAATGGAATAAATCCTTCAAAATTAAAAACGCGGAGTGACTGTGTGATATAGATAAAAAAAAGTGAGATAAAAAGGAAACAAACCGGAGCTTAGGGTGTGCAAAAACAAATACAAATACAAATACAAATACAAATACAAATACAAATACAAATACAACGCAAAATACAAATAAAACAAAAAGCTAATCAAGGCAATTCGTAAATACAAAAAAAACCAAAGAAACCCAAAGTTTTTAAAAAAACAAAACCAACAAAACCGACAAAACCAAAATACAAAGAAAGTGAAACGATCAGCGAAGCCAAAGAAGGAAGACCCCCAGAAGACCCAGCTGAGCAAAGAAATTTAAGAAGGAAGACCCGTTCGAAGATCTGCCAAACTAAGAAGGACGACCCCTACCGGATATTTCGTGAGCAAGAGTTGTATTAATAAATATATAAGTTCAATTAGGATATATAAGATTATAAAAACTAACATATAAGAAAAA